ATTATGGGAAACCCTAATCCCTAATCCCTATGATCCCCTATGTAAACCCAGTTTCCATTTCATTTTCCATTTTCTTTTCCATTTGATTCTCCATTATAGGAGGTACCCCAAATTATGGGAACCCCCCATATGGGGGCTCATCCAGGCAGCCTTCCCTCACGCCTGTCAATTGCGTGACCCCACTATATATTGGGGGCTATATAGGGATAATGGAAAATAAAATGAAAACTATTAGGGTTAATAGGGATTCTATAGGGTATATTATGGTTTATTCTAATGATCGTGTGCCTGATTTCACACGCTGAGTGCTGCAAAGGGGCGCAGCGCAGCATCCTCTCTTCACAGTTGCTAGGTGGCAGTAAGAATCTGGCAGAGGAGCCTGTTCGACAGCTACAGGCATCTTAGGCAGCCCGATCTGGAAACTAATCAGATCCATAACCCTAAATACACATACACAAATATGTATAAGTCTACATGTACGTTCACAAATCCTGTAAACTCCCACTTTCCATTTTATTCTCCATTTTGCTTGCCATTTGATTCTCCATTCTTACCGCTGGATATCCCATTAGACCCTACATGGACTCGCCCTAATTCCGGAATTACCGTCGCTTTTGCCTGAGGAAGTTGGAGCAGAGAGACTGCGGAGCGATCCCGTTAGCTTCTTCGAGTATTGGAACCTAGACGAAATAAAGTGTTTCGAAAAAGTTAGGGCACCCCCAGGATATTGGGACTTCACATTCTTATTGTGGGCCCTGAGTATGGTTCATAAGGATCCCTATCCTTGACAGAACTGTGCTTAATAAAGCGACTTTACTGGGAGCCCCAAACAGGAACCCCAAGAATACAGTAGGAATACAATAGGAATATATCTACCAGGGACCTAATATTCTATTATCTTCCTACTATATTCTTGGGGTTCCCTGTTTGGGGTTCTCATTTGAACCCTTTTACTTAAAGGCAGGAGGGTTTGCGAGAGGTATGGTGGGTTGAGATCTAAGGCAACAGAGTACAGAAGTTCCGGTTTGTTTGATGGGGACATAAGCCCTAAGCCCTAAACCAGGATCATCAGATCAGGAGCCTTACCATGCTATTATGCCTCGAGCTTCTGCTGAGCTCACTTTTGGCTTCAGGTCCATGATTGCCCTGGTATCCTAGCAAACCGCTGAGAACCACATTTTTGCCTTAGGGCTCAGCGAAATCACTGCTCACGCAACAGTCCAACCCCAACAAATCCGGGGCTGTAAGTTGCTTCCGCCCAATGCGAAGATTGATTGATGGGAAATCGATGTGCGCCGGCGGAATGTGCCGACCAGGCTGCCTGTGCGGCCTGCAGGTCAGACTCCCGCTCCATGAGCTTTCACATGTACGAAAAGGCAGATTTGGTGTGCTTGGAGCAGGGCCGGTCTCAGCTGACACAGCAGATGATTGGAAGCTGGTACAACAAAGAGAGCGGCAAGCATATGGGCGAGATATTCGATGAATACCTTTACTGGAATGTCTCCCTATGTGTTCACCCAACCTTTCTGCACACGCGGATGGAAGACATGGTGGAGACTGATGTGAACGGACGAGTCTTTGTTGGCAAAGTTTCGCTTGAGGCACAGGCTACGATCACATGGGACGATGGTCAGGTGTGGCTCAGAAAATGAAGTTTGGCTGTTCGCCGTCGACTTTTGCAATCAGAACATGGGTGTAGTCCATGCTAAAGTGCGCAGCTGCTCTCAGCAGCTTCGGATTTGCTGCGCGCAGCAGCTGACAGCCTCACAAGCAGGCCCTGCACGCTGGAAAAATACAGATTGGAGATTGGGCAGGCATCCCTGCAGTTTCATGATGTTTCATGGGATGTTGCCAATTTGATCGAAAGGAATCCTACCGTCATTAAGTTCTTCAAGAGCGCTGGCGACATTGGAAAACGCACGCTGGACATGTGGGCAAAGGAGCCAGCCTTCTGGATCGGTCTGTGCAATTTGACAAGTACAACGCACAGACATTTGTTTGCAGTCTCATCCCCTTTTTTCACAGCACAACGCTGGTGCCATGCCCTGTGCAGGACCAGATCATGGACCAGGATGCTATCGAGGCAGTGGCTGCGTTCTGCTGCTGTGCATGTTTCGGGAGGTGCGTCAACAGTGAACAGAATAAGTCTAATCACAGATGCTCGAAGGTTGGATATCACACCTTCAAATGCCCCCTGACTGCTGCTTGGCAAAGCAAACTTTCTGAGCGGCGTGAGCCCAGAAGATGCAGCAAGCTAGCCCCAAGGCGATAGCAGCAGATGGCTCATGGGATACGTGGGTCAAGTTGGACGACCTTGACGAAGTGAAACTTGACACAGACTCGATTCAGCTCCAAAAGCACAGAAACTCCGCCGCATAGGACAGTCCAAAGCCTGGCAGCTAAGGCAGCGCGACCTGACGAGCAAGAGAATGGAAGTAGGCGAGGAAGCCACTGGCATTTGACAAGTTGGCAGTGGGCATGAACTGTGCTGTGACATTGGTTGCCGCTGTTAGCCGTTGCTTAGCAATCAGCGCAAGTCAGTAGAATGCTTTACTCAATCTGCACCCGCACGTTTCTTGTAAGCCATGAGCACTGATTTTAGGTCAGCGCTGTCGCAGGTGCTTATCACGTTCAGAAAGAGGGTAAAGCCTTTGCTGGGCATTTTCCAGAATGGACGTACGATGGTTGGAAGGACAACTGCAAATTTGGGTGACAAAAGATATGGCCCTGTTGGGCTATAAGCGGGTCCCTGCTGAGAAATCTGAGAAGAGCATTTTGGATTCGGCAGGAGTGGACTGAGCATCCAAAGGGGTGCCGCATCGTGAAGTGCAAAGACTGCGAGCCTCAGCGTTGCACATATGATGCTATACTTCAGATTTGACAAAATGGAGGCACTTGGGCTGTTCAGCTGATAACTGCATGCCTGACCGCAACGCTACTGAAAGGACCACATGACAGTCAAGCACAACCCCATGTTCAAGGAGGAGCCTTTTGGCTTTGAGTCAGTGTCAGACTGTGTTACAGTATAAGATTGACATTCTTTGTGGGGCAGTGGATCCGCCACAGCTGGTGCAGCAAAGCTTTCTGAATTCGAAGATTGATGGAGGCACGCAGAAATAACAAAATAGAGACTATGCGGTTGCTGACAGCATGCTACGAACTCAAGCGGACCTGGCTGAGGCTGTGGAAAATTTTGAGGGATGCAGTGGCATCGTTCTGACCAAATCATTGGTTGTAGCCAGCAGGCTTCAGCACCAGCGCCTGTCCCTGCCCATAGACCCAATCTGCGTCGGAAAATGTGTGGGCTTGCAGGAGAAGCTGTTCAGCTTGTCTTTTGCGGGGGGGTGGGGGGCACTTGGCCACCCCATGACTTTGCCTCACAGTTTGCTGGTTTCGAGAGGACTGTTGGGAATGAAGCTTAGATCATGCTCACACTGAAGTAGACCAACACCAAGCGCACGAAATGCGGGGACACGTCTTCTTTGAGGCAACCAGAGAGAGGATGCACGCCCGGCAGCTAGGAAATGTAAAGTAGCCTCAATGTGAAAAGCCCAGCTGCGGCATCCTGCGGCATCCTGCTCCTTTGAGCCGCTGCCATGCCGCGAGCCTGCCAGAGTCTCTCCAGAGTGATTCGACTAGGCCGTTTGCAGCTGAGTTGAAATTTGCCGGCTTTGCCAGCTTCAGACCCGCATGTTGCGAACATGCCTGCGATGCCGGGAATTCCTGAGATGTTGGCTCAAGCAAGCGTGCAGTTTGCAAAGGAGAAGCCGTTGGCGGATGTTTACAGCTTGGCACTATGCCACCCAAAGCAGCCAAGGCTAAAGCGCATGGCAAGGCAGCCGCAGGTGCTTCCAAGGTTGCTGCTAAAGCCAAAACAGCTCCAGCACCTCCGGACCCACCTCGAGCACCAGCACCAGCAGCACCAGCACCGGCTGCAAAGTTGTTGCCAGAGGAAGCAGAGTCCCTGAGCGCCAAGGCAGCTGAAGACCTCTTGGCAGGCATTTCGCCTGAAGACCTGGCAGCCCTGGCTGACACAACCGATGAGCTCGAGCAGCTCCCTGCTCGCCAGGCGCTTGAATATATTGGAGACAGGGACCTCACTTGGGAAAATGCCCAGAAGTCCCTGCGGACCGGAGGTCAGTTCCTCAAAGAAATGTTGGAAATGCAGGCTGGCGAGTTCATTACTAAGCAGAGCTTCCAAAGGTTCCAAGAGCTTGGCAGCACTGACATCTTTGCCTTGTGGGAAAAGAGCCGTGCTGCTTACTTGCTAGCTGTTTTCCTTCAGGCTTGCCTCCGTGAGGCTCGTGATCGATTAGGGCTGCCCGCCGCTCCGCCACCTCCTCCGCCACTGCCAGCTGAGCCTCCAGCATGGCCACTTCTGATCGACTTCAAGGACAAAGGGCTTTGCACAGATAACAGGTGCAGACAGTATGTTGGCCGGACGGAAGGGGGCAGGATTGAGTAGGAAGCACGGAGCTGACTACGGGTTGCAAAAGAGTGTCAGGAGTTGCCCTCTCAGATAGCCGACGCGGTGCGCTGGAGCAAGACAGTGCTGGTGGTGTGTAACGGCCATGCTCGAGAAACAGACACCTTCCTGACATACTCTGCCTATGTTCAGATCGATGCGAAGTGGGTTATGGGAGAGACGATGATAAGAAAAACCATGAGCGTTGACGACATGCGTGAGGACCTGCGAAGGAAAGTGGTGAATGCTATGAAGCATGGGCTACCAGTTCACATTGCCATGTCAAACACGGCTGTGGCCTTCAAAGACAAGTTCTGTGGGGAGCTGACATTTCCTGACTCCGTGTTTAACCTGAGCCTATTTAGAGGCAATGCTGATGGAGAAGCAGAGTACAAGAAGATCGTCCGAGAAACTGATCTTGAGGACTGGCCCGGCAGCTTTCCTGGTCGAATGAAAGAAGGTTTCTTCATTGTCGTCACTACGGACTTTGACCTTGAGTCAGCTCGAGAATTCCTTCCCACGGCTTTGCCATACTTCGAGCAGATGGCTATACTAGAAGTGGATCCTGCGTCTTTTACTTGACTAAGCTTGGCATTCTGCCAAGAGGCAAGGCGCCCCTACTGGCAGAAACATCCTACCTGTACTCTTTGCAGCAGATCATCTGGGTACACCACTCGGCAGCTGCATCAAGAACATCTTGTCAGTTCTCTCTAGCCAGAGGTCTTAGGCCATTTGGATGGCACAGCTGGTGCCGCGTGTCCACAAACTGCCTGGGTCCAAACATCTGAAAAGGAAGAGCAATAGGCAACCAGGAGGGGCTGAGGATTACCTGTAATTCTTTTCAGCAAAGCACGCCTCTCACAGGCCGGGACTCGGCTTCTGATCTGACCTAGGTGATGTGTCTACCAGAGACTTCAGCTGCCCACTCAGACTGCTTTCATTGTTTCTACTGCGCTGGATGCCTGGGCTGTCACTTCCCTGCACTTTCCTATCCGCATGCAGTCAGTATGCTGAGCTGGTTGTATGATGCAAAAGCTTCTTGACATCATGCTCTTGCTATTCATTCCTTTCCAGGCCTGGCCGGCACCGTTCTGCTCCTGCGAGCGCTGCCCCGGGGAATGGCTGCAGTCTGAGCTGGGCATGTGGTCTTCTGTGAGTTATGTAGATCCTGGGCATGCAGAGCCATTCCGAAAAGAATGCTTGTTCCAGCGCCTGCTGGAGGCTGGCATCGAAGTACAGGAACACTCATTATCTTCGCACTTTTTGCTCGCCATTGCTTCATGTAGATGCCCTGCCATCTCGTTGAGGCCCCGATGTGCCCGCTTCGAACTTTGGGCTGTCGCCCCAGGGGAACCAGCGCTGACTGATTCAGCCTCCTAATGCGAAATGTCCAAGCCAGGCAAGAACAAAAAGTAAGCACTCAACCAAGCAAATAGAGTGGAGGGCCGGCCGTATGCGCTTGCTGGATGGGGGGCCCAGTCTCAAAAGTGTAAGCGACAGGCATTGACGGGACGATTGTCGGCAGACTTCCCATAGATTGCCCGACAGGATGTGAAGGGTTAGGTGGTGCATCGGAGCTCCCCTGCGTGCAGGAACATTGCTCGCATTTGCAGAGGCCAAAGCTGCCAACGTCGCCGCGGTGAAGCAGAGTCTGGGGCTGAGACAGGACTTGAGCCGATGTGCCAGGCTTTGGCAGGACATCAAGTGAAATATGGGCATGCAAAGTGTGCAGAGTTTTCGCCGGCTGGGTGCACGGTGTGCCATTATCTTTTCAGAGCCATAGGCTGTTCAATCTGGAGCCGCATTTGGGCTCATCAACAACCCAGACACTTGAAGCGGAACCCTGTGAGCGGAAACAACGGGCATATTGGCGAGCAACTTGTACCCACTTGAGTTTACTGCTGTCACTTCCGATCAGTACGAGACTGAAATTGACGAGCCCTTCCCGCAGTTCCTACAATCATCCAGACGAACAATTTTAAAGTGTTGCGGCCCGCGGTGCAAGGAAGCTGTTCAAAAGCTGCTGGAACTAAGGCGGGCGATACCAGGAGTTGCTTGAGGTGGCGATTTCTTTTTTCAGCTTTGCTGCAACCAGGTAGGGAAAATCCACTTAAGGCAACTTCACAGACTTGCTTTGAACATGTCTGGCAAATGTCTGCCATAAAGCGTTGCTGCTAGTCCGTGCAGGGTTGGCAATATGACAGAAGCGCTTGGCTTGCTGCTTGGTTAAAGGAGGCTGCAAGAGGATCACCACATCTCTCGCCAGAGAAGGACGGCGATACAGATGTCAGTGCGAGGAATGTGTGCAGATCCCTGTGCAGACTCATGCTGACTTCAATTTTGTTTCTGGGGTGCAGGAGAGACAACTGCAGCTCGACTTGGACCGCACTTGGCCCTCCCTGCGTGCCCTTCTCACATAAGCTTCCTCAAGCCTTCGGAAGCTTGTTCTGAAGATGAGGTATCTTCTCAGAAGGCATTGCGGGTCGACAGTCGCTGTCAAACTTGTTGAAGGTGCCTGCAGCTTCCGATGGGGATGGCTGGTTCGATCTTATGCTTGTAACGCCTGGACTCTGCAAGAGTGCGCAAGGAATGTACTTGCATGACTGCCTCAACAGGGCGGTGGCAGGAGTTCCTTGCTTTGGTCCATTTATAGACCCGCGAGGCTTGGATCATCTTTGATGCGGACCAGGCTAAGGAAGCCCATTCCTCGATTCACATTTGAACACTTGTCTCGTGAGCAGAGATTCGGATTTGAGAAATTTTTCTGGTGCGCAGATCAGTGTTTCGAGAGCTGTGCTAATATTCACCGTAGGCAAGTAGCGGACTAGCGCAGTTGTCAGGAGCCCAAGATACTGGGACGGGAAAGAAGCGAGTCAGCTGGGAAGTATAAGCATTCGATGAGTGTTGGGTGGCTTGTTACTGCTTCGATGTGACATGATGCGAGCAGGAGAGATCCGAAGAACAAGCAGATGAGGCGGGCCTGGGATCAGATTTGACTGGCAATCCACGGAAGGATTCTTGGCCAGGTTATGTAACGAGAGAAATTGGCCGAAGATTGGAACTGAGAAAGGTTCATCCCATGCTGGTGAGAGAATGGCAGGACTTCAACACAAAGAATATGCAAAAGAGTCTGTTTGTACTACTGGGTGGATAAGATCAGTCCTGATTCTGTGGGCAAGGAATGGCGCCCACAGAGTTTGCAAGCCAGAAGCATTCAGCATCATTCAGCCATATCCTGTAAATAACCTCTCGAACAGAAAGGCTCTGCTGTCAAGCAGACAAGGTGTCTCCGAGTGTCTCCATGCTCTTCCGTGCAGGTCCCAGGCACGGGCCGCACGGCACTCAGAGTCCTTTTGGCCCTTGCGGGGGCTTGCAGCCTGAGATTCCAGCGCATTTTTCAACGCTACAGGACCTGCGACACCTGAGATTCAACTTGAGTTGCTGTTGAGGACGAAGTCGTTCACGCCACGGAGAGGCAGTGGGCTACGTGCAGGGCCAGCTGCTGAGATGCGAAGCCCTACTGTAGCATGGCAAATGCGCGTGTTGAAGGCTACGTGAAACCGGATGCTTTGCAAGCCGTTTTTGTTGTGCAGTGTTGCGGAATGACGGAGCAAGGCATGAACTTCATCGTGACAGCCCTCCTTTGGCATTGTATGGCCGAAGAGGCTGCTGAAATGCTTCGCTGTTGGGTAATGACATTTGGAGGTTGCCGATGGTGCTGTGAGTTTTCCGTCGTAAGCATGCATTAGAGTCCTTGTTCCCAATGTGGTCTGTCCCTTCTGTTGCACCTCGCTCTTGTCTTGAGTTTGTTGACGCATGTTATGCTCAATGCTGCATATGAAATTCGTGAAGCTCTAGCCATTCCAGAGCGCGAACATCTCATGTGTGACCCGCAGTCTGGTCACTCCTCTTGTGGTTTGGACCAGTGTCGGTCTTGGTCGGGGTCGGAGTGCTTGAAAGTCCAGCTGGCTCAGGTCAGAGCTTGCAAAGTTTGGAATCTCAACTTTGCAGCGGAACGTTGGATGCTACAGAAAGCCTAAAGCTACGGCAAAACACAGTGGACAGGTGTGGGCCCGAGTTAGCACTGGGACAGGACTGATACGAAAGGATGCAGTGAGGTTAACAAGATGAAGCTTTTCGTCAGATGTATGATGCGGGAGGACGAAGGTCCCCACAGAGCGCATCCTTGTAAAGTCCTTGCCAAAACTTACTTTTGCTAGGTCCTCCGTCCGGAAAAAAAACTAAAGTAGTATATAGGTGTATATAGCTTTTTCTCTGTTCCAGAGTCAGAATTCCTCCGCTAGCCAGGCCAGGGAAAATGCACTCTCATGTGCTCCGCAACCTCCTCCGCATCCTGTCAAGTGCGACACAACATGATTCCCGGCGATGCATTATCTGTACCACATGCATTGTTCTAGGCAAAATTCTGCTGAAACACGGGCGTTCCTCCTAACATGGCTGCCGCACCTGAGCAGTTGGCCAGGCAGTGTTCTGGCTTTTTGTGGCCACTGCCAGCAGCTTACTTTCTTTGTTTTCGTTTTGTGTTTCCGCTGTCGATCTAAAGGTGCTGCGCAGCCCCGGCTCACAGACTGCTTGCCACCTTTGTCTGTAAAGTTCTCTTAAACTCCTGCTTTGTGACGGGGTGTCAGTGATAGAAAAACTAGTTGGTATTTCAAGCCTTTGCACTACCACTTTACCTTGTTCACCGGAGTCTGGTGTTGGCCCGCCTTAGGTTCAGAACTATGATTTGCGCAGCATGTTTGAAGCTCCAGACATGCATGGACTGAAGGCCGGGCTCTGTGCTTCACTGAAGGGTCTCTGTTCCTGACTTATTGCCTGTGCAAGGTACGGTCCTTCACCATTGCACAGCTGGTGCATCAAGAGATGCCGCAGCTCTTGGTGTACGTTGCAGATGAAACCCTTTTGATGTGGCTGCATTAGCACCGCTCTCTTGCTGTCTGAATTTCTCTCGATGGGCATACATCGGAGGATCATGCCGCGCGTATGGTGCAGTATTGATTGGATAATCGGGCTTACTGCGCAGACTTGGCAGGTCCCAAGGCAACCGTCATTTTCTTCAGCACGGACCCCTCAACTCATGCGTACATCCATAGACACACACACACGGATATATATATATATGTACATGCCCATATATGTGCATATGTCAGGCCTGACCTCTCCGCACACCTCGCGGAGCACATGCAAAATTCGCTGAGTCTGTGACTCAATGCCGAACAGCTCAGGGACAGTGAGATAAGTTGGAAAATTATGGATATGGCGGCGCATGCATTCACCGCACTTAAGGGCATGGGTCCCTAGATCAGTTGGCCCGGCAAACTCCACGAGAGACCCCCAGAGCGTACAAGTACCATACACAAACCTAAAAGCACAAGGCAGATTACTGATATTACTGCAAAACTGAACTAAGACAGCAGGCATGTCAACAGAGGGCTGCCTATAGCATTGGGAGCTTTTTTTAATCGGCAAGAGATCCCAAGCATCCCAAAAGTCGTCTTCCAAGCAAACTAAACAAGGCAACATCCCAACGAAGTTTAGAACAAGTCGATGACAATTCCATA